CCTATGACACTTAGGAGCAGTAAAAACACTTTGTATTTTATTTATTTCAGAACACTGAATTACTTAAAGTAGTAAAAATGCAACATTATGGTAATGTAGCTAGGCTCCCTTAGTAACCTAGGGGTTTATATACCTTTTAACTGCAAGTATACAACCCTTACCCTGCTGTAAAGAACATCTAAGGTAAAATCATCCATTATGACATTGAAATGAAGCAGGAGTTTCAACAGGATTGACAGATAAGAGCAGGAAAGTAAGATTGTGTAAGCACATTCAGAATTTGAAGTTTAGCTTGTCAGGACATTAGAGCGAGCATTTTTACCACTGGAAATACATTTGTAAGGGAAATGAGGTAATCACAGCTTCACTGAAAACCTGGAGCAAAACTTGCAGTTCTCTCTTTGAGGTGCTGATTTCCCTGGAAACTTATTCCCACAGGTGGTGAGACCATCACATTTTACATCCCTTATGAAAGACAATTACCCAATTACCTTCCAGCACGCGGCGACCACCACCCCGTCCTGAGGCACGATATTGATACTGTCTTGTAGGGAAGGATGACTCACGTTGCAGTGCCAGACTCATTTTCCTTGCTTTGTGAGTACTAGAAATTGTAGAGATTGGCCTGATATGGCATCCATGGCGTTTTCTGTGAACTCATATTTGCGAGATGGAAGGTTTAAAGGATCTTTAATGGATCTTTAACGAATCATCATGTGGTTGAAAGTGAAAATTTTAGAAAGATTTGAGACATGGCTTTCATGAGTCTTAGAGTCTTCTAGCGCCCAATTTTGCAAATTCTTTTCACTTGATTGGCATTTAAAAACAGACGTCTGTTGAGCTGAGTAACAGATATGAAAAAGCAAGATTACGAATACTGCCTTTTAATGCTAGCAACTTAATTGGAAGGAAAAGCTTTCTTCTTGTAGGAGAATTGATTAACAGCTGTAGGAATTTCTTTGGTGGAAACCATTCTATGTACAGGTATACTTTTCAAATCTCTCAGTAGCATATGAATGACTATAATGTAAATAAATATATGTTATTATTAAAAACTACATGAAAACGCACAATTTGCTTCTTTGCAGAGGCCACAAACTTTAAAGTGTAACTTGGAACATGAGATTGCCTCTACTGAAAGAGCTCAAGTGTTGTCCACACTGAAACACTTGAAGAGTATAAAAGCAAATGGTCGTCTTCAGACTGTGGCAGTGACCTTGAACGTCAGCTGAGCTACACTTTCTTTATTTAGCTTAGGCCAATGATTAACTTTGCTAATGACTGTATATCAAATTCACCATTGTTTATGTATATGGCAGTGAAGTTGGCCCTGTCTCTCTTTGTGGGGATGATCCAGTATATTTAAAGGAAACCCTTTGTAAAATTGTTTCCTTTGCAAAGCTGCATCTTTGTAAACGTCCTAATTGCTTCCAATCTACCTCAGTTGTCTTTGGATTCTTTAGCCTGAGGTTAGCAATACTGTAGGCATAATATATTTCTTCTTATGTGTAGTTCTGTTCCCTTAGTCCTGATTTAAGAGAGGATGACAATTTTCTTATTCTGCAGTGTTCCAGTAATTATTCCTCTATGGTAGATCCCTGCAGCGCACAGGAAGCTCCACCCTGAAATAGTCATGTATAGGGAATATGAAGTCATCTGCACAGCTTTGCCTCTGAAGGAAGGTTTGTCAAGACACAGCACTTTAATTTGTAGCCTCAGCACCATGGGGAACCCAGCAGAGATATCTGCCCACGGCACACATGGAAGCAAGGCGTCTTCAAGTTCCTCTAATCGGCACTAGGTCAGCCTTGGCTGGTTAGCTGTAGTGTTATCAGGCTCCTGACAGAACGAGAGCTGCACTGCGTTGTGGGCTTTTTTTTACAGGCAGAAATGGGATGCAGCCCTCAGTTGGATCAAGCCTGGTGGAAATATTCCAAGCTGAGGAGAATTTACATTACTTGGCTTCAATGCAGAATACTGTTAACGTGCTGCGAGACAATTGCACAAACCCTGTGTAGGCAAATGCTTCCTAAGACTGTTTCATTGGATATTAAATGGAGGAAGAGTCCCCGTGGTTTGTACATTTCAATGGAAATGGAAAAGCCAGATTCTCCTTTCAGTTGCACTGATGTAAATGGGGGCTGAGAGCAGAAATTTCTCATAAATTGTATACAATCCAAGGTACAGGCTGTTAGGAAATGGTGAAAGACTTTAGTTTTATTAGTCAGTTCTGGGAGTTTACCTGTGAATGTCTTAAAATATATATAGTAAGACGGGTTGTGTATGAGACTTTATATTGCTGGTGAGCTACACAGGAAGGTAGTAAGAGTTTCATGCTTTTCCACTGCTCTTGAGTCTCTCAAATACAGCAGAGGCCATCAAGTATTTTGTGAACAGCGTTGTTTTTGCAGAGGATAGAGACTGCAAGGATACTCAGAGGCTCTTCGATTCTTTTTTGTTTTGTTCTCTAAACACATTAAATCATTCCCACTGCAAACAGTAGAAGGAAGTGTAGTATATGATGCTTAAAAATTACATGTTTTGATTTCTGTGATAGTTAAAAACTAAAATGGTTCATTCCAAACAGGGTCTTTTTCTGCATCATTTCCAGTTGCGTGGTAGTGACAGCAGAAAAAATTAATCTGTCTGTTTAACACACATATACTCTGCTCCCTTTCTTCTCTTTTCTGCCTCTATGTATGTTACACTGGCATTAAAACATTTGTGGTGTGCTTGTACCAGTGATTTCAGCTGTTCTTCAGTGATGGTTGACAGGAACAAGTGTGGGCACAATTAATCTCATTGTCTGCTTTTCAGATCCTGAGAGTTGAACAGCTGCTTATTAATGCTGCTTGTGTAACTTTGCAATTTTCTAGATTTCTGTTGCAATATAAGGACTGTTAAAATAAAAGGTAGAATTCAGAACAGCATGATTAATGGAGATGTATATGATTATATAAAAGCTGACTAAAAGTTAATTTGTGGTCCACTTTTATTCTTCAGTTTTTGATCTACAAGGTAAGGCCAATATTTCAGAGAAGTTTTCCTGCACAGCTGTGAAATATTCACCTCAGCCTTCTTATGAAGCAAAAATTTGTACATTTCCCTAAAGCCGAATTACCAACGATCTCAAGTCCAGTAATAGTGAATCCAATATTTTGCAGTACTTTCTCCATCCCAGCGCTGCAGCAACCATGCTTTAGAATCATAGAATCAATAAGGTTGGAAAAGGCCTCCAAGATCATCTGGTCCCTACCACCAATGTTACCCACTAAACCATGTCCCTAAGCACCACATCCAACCTTTCCTTGAACACCCGCAAGGACGGGGACTTCACCGCTTCCCTGGGCAACCCATTCCAATGTCTCCTCATTTCCAACCTGAACCTATGGAAAGCTTTCGGATCAGGGCTTGTGTACGCCTGGCAGCTGGGCAGGGTGAGACCAGATCTATATAAAAGCATAGGCAGCTATGCTGAGTTGTCTGCAGGTGAATCTAACAGGACTGAGAGAGCAGTTACTGAAGAGAAAAGATCTGCCATCTGCCATTTCAAAATGAAAGGCTGGATGAAGATTTTGGGACTTCAGAACTTTGGTGCTTGAGTTGTGACTTGAGGACTGTGCTGCTGTTCTTAAACCCAGCTGTTACTCAAGCAAGCACTGTGAGTAGGAGCAGGGAATGGTCTGTGACACCTGAAATTACCAGCTTTAGTGCTAACATTACCAAGAGGACAAAAAAGAACAAGTGTGTATAAATCAGAGAAGAGTAATACTGTTCAATGACTGATGGGATGACTTGTGAGAAGTAAAGCAGCTTAAAAACATAACTAGTCCCTGCAAATGATTCTAATATTTCACAAAACTAGATTGAGGGGCAGGAGAAATGATTTTGTGTGGTACAAGGTAGAGTCATCTGCAGTGGAGTGCAAATAGGATCAAATTAAGAGAAGGAGAAATTAGGCTGAGTGTCAGGCAATCGGAACTATGAGAGTTATTTGACTGTGAAAGAGCTCCCCAAGGGAAATAATACAAGCCACATTATTTGGGACACCTAAAATTAGACTTCAGAAAGCACTGAAATAATCTACAACCCTGCTTTGGTAGGGAGGTGGACTAGAAAGGCATATTTGGGGATTTTCCTTTTTTTTTTTTTCAATAAATTTTGCAATTTGGGGGTCTGATCCTCTTCAGCAAAGTGAAAGTCAAGGAAAGATTTACATTATTTTTGGCAGGAGAAAACTGAGGCTCATCACTCACAGCTTCTCCCCTCCACCTATTGCCAACATTCTAAACTCAAAACCTTTATCTTTTTATTTCTGTCCCTCAGGGATGGATCACACCCCACCCTTCTGATTTTAAATAAATATATTTAAAGTTGGCTTTCCCAACACTTGCAATTTGAGTAGCAATGTGGTAATAAGGAGGGGGATTTGTTCATCCAGAATGTTTACCTTGATCTGTTGATTTTTAATTTATTTTTTTTTTGACAGGGAAAAAAGGGTTTTACAAATGCAAACTAATGCTATTGAAACAGAGACAGAAATAGAAGCAGCGTGGAGTTAAGAGGAGAAAGGACACATGTGCCGTAAGGACACTTAGCAGCATTTCCCTCTTGTTGGACTCAACAGACTGTAGAACTGATTGTGCTACACTTTTTTAATTTTTAATTCAGAATTTACTCAGCTCATAATATGCAAATCTATAACCCAGGCATGTTCTGAAGCTGTTGTCTGAGGTTGCCAACCATATTTTAACTAGCAACTTGATGGGGAGGGGAAGAGGCAAATGAAATACAGCCTTTAACCAGGGAATAAGGGCCTCCAAATGTGTTTTGATGCACAGAAAGTGTTGCAGTCTCCTACATAATTTCCTTCAAAGACAAATTGCGTGTAAGTGAGATAGGCATGGGAATGCAGAAGAGGTTCAATTATACAATAGGCCTACATGTTAAGATGTGTAGATCATGAGGTTGTGGCTGAACTTCAAGAGCCTGGGGTTTTTGGTGTAAATTTGTTCTGAGTTGCCTCCCTTTATCTACCTGTGGTCTTTCTTTACTATCACCACCTGCTTGTGTGAATGACAGCACTCCTTCCAAGTCCTGCTTGAACAAATAGAAATGTTTTTTCATTGTGCAGGTATTAGATGTGTTCACCTTCACAGTGTAACAGTACGGTGCAAAAAGAGGGTGAGTTTGTGTGCACACGAGGGCAGGGTATCATGGCTGAATTTGTGATAAGAGGCAAAGGAAAGCACAGATGCAGAATTTTCTGAAAGAAGGGACAGCTCATTTGGAGAGGATCTGGAACAGCGTGGGAGGAAAGCTATAGGGCATCTCCAATATTTTATTCAAGGGTCACGGGTTATAGCCCCCCAGAATGCATTCTTCTCCTATATCACTGGAAAAGAGGACTCAGGATAGGTGAATGGGGTGTGCGGTGACTAGTAACACCTCCTGCGCGCTGAATTTTGGGTTGTAGACGGCTGTACAGATTGGGGCTGGTACTGGGGCTGGTGAGACAGGCAGCCAGAAAACTCATCTGATTGCGTTTCACATTCTGACTTCTAAATACCAAGATCTGATTCCCATTTCCTTTCTCCCACTGCTGCTCGCCTCCAGTGTGCTTTGCCTCCTGCTGCCTTGCACATGGTCTGCCACAGGAGCGTGGGCTGTATTTTTTTTCTCATTTGACTAAGAGCATATTTCCCAATCTAAATCCTTAACGAAGACTAAAGGCCTGTATTGCAGGGTGGAAAGATAATAACCCGCAACGTATTATTAGCAGGGAAGACTCATTCTCCTTATGTCCATGTTTTTGAATGACTTAATTGAAGAAAAGAGGTATCTTTTGATAATAGCTTTTTGCACAGGACAACAATGAGGGCGGAATAGTGGATGCTGGTGATGCTGGCTTTCTTGGACAACTTCATTAAGGCATTATTAAAGTGGCAGTAACCACCTGTCTTACAGACCCGGAGTGCTTTGATATACTAGTCCTTTGCATAGCATCCTCTGAGGGTGAAAGCAACTGTTGCAGAGGCACTGCGTGCTTAATTTGTGATTGATCTCCCGTAAATGGTTTTATAAGATCTCGAATCTTGTAAAGATGCAAAGCTGCACTTGCCTGTTAACATCATTGCCTCTCCCAATCTCGAGCTCTCTCATCTCAAGAAGGGCAGCTGGAATTGCCAAGGAGGGCCACAGGAATGACATGGGGTTGGGAAAACACTGCCTACCAATCAAGGTTTTTAAAAATAGGGCATTTGGCATAGAGAAGAGATGACTCAAGGGGGAGGCATAAGCCTTTAAATATGTGACAGTGCTGCACAGAGAGGAGACAACCTGTTCTATGTCCTATTCTTTTCTTTGTCCAGAGGGAGTAAGAGATTCGTGTTCAGCTAACAGAAGGCTTTTCCAACAGTTGGGATGCTTGGAGTAGGTGGTCTCGATCATGCCATCTCCTTCGCCGTGGGATATGGAGAAGAGGTTGGACAAGCACAGTCAGTAATGCCCCAGGTGCAGCTGACAGCTACCTTTCTGAAGCCTGTTCCCTGATATTTTATGGGATTTGGCTGTGGCTATTCAGTCCCTGGCCACGTGCATCCTTGTTTACACTTTTCCATCCCTGTTCCTTGAGCCTGACTGACGTTCTACAGCTTACACAACTGATAGCTAATGCATTTCCAGCAAAGTCCAACCTGACTGCCTGTTTCATTTCCTCAGCTCGCACTAGCATTGTAAATTTTCCTTTGGCTTGCTGCTGGAAGGAGTCCCCTTCCCCTACTGGAGTATGGGGTGCTGCTCCCTGGCTCTCACCTGGAGGAAACTGAACCACTGAGATTGTTCATTAAGCTCTCAGGTCTTGCAAAGACGTTGTGGAATATTCCATGCCCTTCTTAATGAAGGAAAAATAAATAAATAAATAAATAAGCATGTGTTAGTATCTCATCAATTCTTCAGGTACCATTTAAAAGTATTGCAAATAGTACTTATTTTCTTCTAGTAATCATGTGACTTCCAGTGTTGTGTGGACAGTAGGAGTCTTGAATGATGTCTTTGCTATGTAATAGCTTGAATAAGCCTTTCAGACATATTTAAGTATGTCAAGGTACTTGAAGCCTCTGTAATTGTCTTAACTCTAAAAATAATGCTAAAACAGAATAAAATTGAATCTTTCCTGAAACAGTGCCATCCAGTTAGTCACCTAGAAGCCAGTCAGGTTAATAGGTTGTAGGAAGAAATGTTTGGCTCAACATCCGTGATGTTGCTTAAATACAGTTCATGAGAGCCTTGTGTCAAAAGTGAAATGTGGTCAACCAAAATCTTAGCCCTTAACCCAAACTCTGCAACTTGTTAATGATTTATCTATCAATGCTGTTTTAGGTACATTTGCATGAGCTTTGCATATTGATAACCACAGCCCCTATTTGTAAATTAGCACCTTCACCATTCTGTTGGAAGATGTTTGTCCTTTTACTCAGTGTTTCTAAAAAATTGTTAAAAAATAACATTTTAAAATGTCAGGAAATGCCATACATTTGACTTTAGTACTTGAGCTGTCTGATCCTTACATGGTGTTAATTAGTAATAGAACTATATTTAATGAAACTGTATAATTATTTCTTTATGTGTTATTAGTCATGTCTTGTTTTTTTCCCATTGTAAGGGTCACTGGACTTGCTTCAAAGTTCCTTGCTGTGTCTTTCGAGCAGCAAAACCCTGGTTTAAAGTCAACAGAGCTTTTGCCCCAGCAGGAGTGTCTACGTTTGGTTGACTGTGATTTGTTCTCTGCAGAATTGCATTTCAGGGCTACGGGCGAGATTAGGAGAAGGCACAGTAATTAAAGCTGGACAGGTTGGCATCTATGCATTTGGTATTTGTGGCACTTGTCCAAATATGGGAGCTTGCTCTTTGGATGAGTGTTGTCATCAGATAACTATAATGAGGCTGTTCATACTGTAGTTTTGGAAGCGGTGCAGTGCAAAAGTCTTCAGTCTGCTGAGAGCTAGAAATTTGGCTGATCTTCAGCGTACAGTGCATAAACACGTTCTTCTTTTTTTTTTTTCCAGTTTTCTTTCTCCTCCCTTCCTTCCCCTCAAGGACATAGACTTTGGCTATATTTTTCATAACTGTGTGAAGCTAGAAATCTAACGGATGCCTGTGCCGCCGCCGCCGCCGCCTCCTCCGCCGCCTCCACCGCCTTCTGGAGGGCCCCCTCCACCACCACCTCTGGTAAGATCGACTTTTTATTTCTATTAACAAGAACTTAGGTATGGTAGCCAGCTCAGAGCTCCCAGAATTTTGCCGTGCATGTTCATAGCAAATATCTGGGGTGGGTGCCTGTTTTGCTGGCTTTTGTTCTTCCGTGCATTGCAGTAGTGGTCTCCAAAGTGGGGTGTAGGAAAAAATATTAGAACTTCAGAGGTGCATGTGTGTAGTTTATAAATAAATAAACAAACAGCTATTGGGGTGCATGCTCAAAAAATTTTTACTGCTAGGGGTGTGTGATCATGAAAAGTTTGGAGACCCCTGTGTTAAAGTGCATGTGGTGAGAATTTAGCATTTCTAAATACTTCTCCAGTCACAAGAAACTCATTTTTGTCTTGGTGACTTGCAGGTGGTAAGTCTTAATTTCTTCATCTTCTTTCATAAGCTTCTGTTAAGACTCACAGTGTTCAGCTGTAGGTGTTTCTCTCTCTAGCACATGCCACCTTCCTGGGGATACAGCACAATATGCTTTTATACGTGTGCAGGAACAATTACTGCTTGTAACAGATCATTACTCTGTAAGCCATGAAGTAGAACATGCACCCTGCCAGCATGTTTGCAGTAAGGGGAGGATGTTCTGCGTGGTATTACATTTTCATACCTTCACAATTATTGTACCTATGATAAAACAAGTTTAAGTTGTTCCTTGCATACTGTAACCAGTTATTCATAGCCTGGTTCTGCACTGAAATTCCTAGACCATTTCTGAAATAGTGAAACCTGGCATGTTTATGTTCAAGACATAAAATCTCTCCTTAATTTTCATTATTTTTCTGTCACTGCTGTAATTATTTCCAGGGTTTGTTAGTCCCTGTAGCAAACAGCATTTCTTCGTGCTTTGAATATACTTCAAAATGTTTTTGTTCTGGTTTTGTTTTTTTGGGGGGGAGGGAACAGGGGGTTTGTTGATTATTTTTTTTTTAAGAACTTTATTTCTGCCTTTCATTCTCTGGTGTCTCTACTGTTTTGTTCCCATGAAGGTCTGTTGATTTAGTTTAATAACGTTTTTACGTTATCTTCGTCCAGGAGGAGGTTTTTTTTGCATGTTTCTCTCTGCTGCTTTGCAGGCTGAACAATTTTGTAAAACTCTCCAGGAATTGTGGAGATGAAGAGGAGGAGGACTGAGACAGTAAATTAAATCAGCAGTGCTTGATTCCTATTGTCATTCTGTTTTAATTTTGGGCACCATCAGCAGTGTTTTCAGTTAGCAGCTCTTCAGAGTTGATACACAACCTATAGTTAGATACTGAAATAAGTGGGCTGAATTTTGTGAGCAACTTAATGCCCACAAATGCAATCAAAGTCAACAAAGCTGCAAGTGTTCTTCTCCTAATAAATTTAGCTCAGTAAATATCTAGAGATGTTTTTAGATTCCTCTAACATATTCCAAATTGCAAATGACTTGGGAAAGCTGAGAGAACTCCTAAGAACCAGTATAAACAAGTTCAGGATTTTTTTGTTCCCTTTCTTTCCTGATGACCAAAACCACTACTATGAAAGAGTTTCGATAGAAGAAGACTTATACTGTGTTTCCATACTTTATTTAGATCATTCTTTTACTAAAATGATCTTCTGTGGGTAAGATGTACAGAATTTACAGTCAGTTTCATCTCAGTGATTGACACAAACCAAATGCATTTATAATTAATTTCTGATATTAAAGCCTTCCTTTTGATGAAAGTGTTGACACTGAAAAGAGCACATGAGCCACCATTAAGAATTAGTATAATTGTGTGACAGAACACTGTTTTTCTCTTACAGTGAAAGGATTTTTCCCAGTCAAAATCAGTGGGGGACAACTTTGCGAGGATCCATAGTCTGAGTTCAGCAAAAGCACAGTCTAAGAAAGAGTCAAATCTCTAGCTGGTGTTAAGTTGCAGATTCCCCTTCTAATTGGGGAATCCATGAAAATTTGCTACAGGCCCTATTTTCTTTTACTAGGAAGCTGCTTCCTAGAACTTGGCATCTGCCTTTTACAGCTGCTAAAGTGCCCAGCTGTTGATACAGCTGCTAAATCCAGAATTGGAGGAAAAGAGGAATAAAAATTCTCATAGGCACATAGCTTTAAGCAAACATTCAAAACAAACAAATTTTACTTGGGCAACACTTGGAAACATTCCAAAGTAAACAGCACTGTGATTTTTATTCTTTTATATTGACGTAATTAAATCCGAGTAATACTTAAATGTTGGCAAATAAAAGTTAGGGTTTAACCACTGTATTGATCCCCAAGTTTTACTTGCTTGTTTTATGTTAAAGGAGAAATGTCCAGGTGTAGGTTGAGGCTTTAGAATCCTGTCATTTGCTTGGTACCATTGCATGGGTACTACACACTTGTCTTGCTTTCCTAATTGTATGGATAATAGCTGTACTTTCCTCTTGCTTTCACTATTAAGAGATTTTTAGCAGAAATAATCACTATATTACATTCTTCTTTCTGCACGTTTTCTTAGTGAATATAATGAGCCATGGTCCCAAATGATTTTGCAGCCCTTCACTGAAAACCTAAGTACTGTTGGCACTTGACTTTTTTATACTATTAACTCCCTTTTAAGGCAGAAGAAAAGATAGGTTCTTCCCTACAATTTTCAAAGCTTTGAACTTGCAGATACTCTGAAGTATATGTACTGAATTCTCACTTACAGAAACTGTTGCAAGGCAATACTAAAATGATTTGAAGATGGTATTTAAGTCATGCTAGGAGCCACCTGTGCCCAACAGCTGAAAAGCTACTGGCTGTCAGGGCATACTTAAATGAAAACCAAGGGTTTTTTTTCAAGAGGAAATGCTATAGTATCTGCAATAGCAGATGTAGGTGGCTGAGTCAAAATGTCAATACAGTTAATTTGATTAATTAAGCATGTCTTCAAATGCTTAATGTCTTCTGGGGGTCATAGATAAAGATGAGGGTTATGAATAGGCAGAATAAAGCCGCCCCAATGTATTTTCTGGCCCTGACTTGCAGAAGTCTGAACATTTTCTCTCTCCCTTTTTCCTTCGTCTATTTCTCTTTTTTTTTTTCCTTTTGTCTTTTAGTTGTATGGAGCATTCTGGTTAATTTAGGTTGTTAAATTTCCAAAAGTACTGAGGCTGATTAAAAAAAAAAAAATCTCAGGTGAGGCTCCCATGAGAGGATCTAGAGCAAATTTTGCTTTGATAAACCGTGTTCGCTTTTTATGTGCAGTGCTGTGTTGCCTTTGTCTGTATGTATAAATTCCTGAAGATATGTTCAGTCATCACTTATTAAAATGTTAATATTGAAGGAAGTGTGTAGCAGGCTTGCTGGGTTGAGTGCTATTCAGAGAAGATGTTTGTTTAATGATTCATATGCTTGTGGAGTTTAAGAAAATACTTCTGTTCTCTTTAGAATTGTTGTTATCAAAACCTTAGCTTAGAACTTAACCCCAAAAAACACAATGGATCAAATGATTAAACCCAGTAAAGTAGCACCAGTAGTTTATTTGCCCTAATGGCCTCCTAAAAACTAGGAGTGCAGAAGAAGAAAGGAATATGCTTACCTCAGGGATTAAAACATGAAAGCTGAAAAAATGCTGAACATTAACCTGGCATGTAGATTAATCTCAGTGATTACTGCATTCTCATTTAGTTGTTGTTTTGTGTTTTGTTTTTTTTAATAGAACTTCTGTTGTAGATGAACATCTGTCAGTTTACCAAGTTTGTTATTCTGACCATACTTTCTATTCTTGTAATAAAATTTCAGAAGAACAATTCTATATGGTATAATGTCGATAAACGCATTATTTACACTATTCATCCTAGAGATAGGATTCCAGTGTTAAGGAGAATATCAGCTTATGGTATTCCTTGTGGGGATGCTTTTTTTTTCTCTTTTATGCAATTGTCAAAGTGCAAACCTTGTTGAGCTGTTTACTCCAACCTTTCCAAGAAATTCAGAGAACCACAGTGCTTGTTTGAAATTGTGTAGGAGTTGGTTTTGCTCCTGTAACATTTAGTACTACTGTTCTTTGGAAAGAGAAAAACAACGTATGTATGTAAAACAGCTTGGTTGATGACTTATGGGGTTCTGATCTGGGCCTGCCAAATATAATATAACAAGAAAGAGAATGTGCATGTATATGTATTGGTATTCATAAATATATGTGCATACTTGCTAATTATTGATTGTAAAAAGCAAGGTCACTTCCCATGAAAATGAAGTTTTCATACAAAGTCCTACATGTGCAAATGGAACTCTGAGAGCTTAGCAGAGTCATGCATGGTGCCATTTACAAAATATTTAGGAATGTGTTTATGAAAATTTTATGCAAGCCATGAGTAAGATGATACTTGCTACTTTGTCATGAAGTCCCTCGTTCAAGAGATATTAAATCGTAATGTTTATTGCTGCTAGGTGAAAACAGCAGAGCTAGGGGGAGCGCAGGCTTGGTAATCTTGCTAATGACAGGCATCACACAGACTGTGCCAAGGGTTGCACAAGGTATAGCTGAAATTTTTGATGGTGCTTTGTTCCAGCCAAAATAAAGGAAACTGATTTATAATGTTTTAATTATGTATCACATCACACACCAGTCTCTTTTCATAAAGAAGCGAGAGGCAATTATGTAGGGGGGGGAAAAAAAAAGGCGTTTGTGTGTGATTTATTTGACTTTATTTTCAGGTAGTAGAAAATGTAGGATTGCATAAGTTACGGCATCTCTAAGTGTTGCCACTGTAGCCTTCTGCACCTGTAAACAAATACAGAAAGGATAAGTAGGGCCTATGAAAGGTGGAGAAAACACAAAGAAAACAGAAGTTCTAGGTTGGCATTGCTCCTTGTATTTCATCTGGAAAGGTACAGGGGCATGCACTGTGTATGTTCATGTGTACTGATTTTCTTGAATACTTTGCTTGAGATCTCTTCGGGCACTACTTCTAATGTATTTAAGCAGTGAGTTCTGTTTTGTAGGTGTTTGTTTTTTTTTTCTCATAATGCCATATGTCAT